GGGACCCTGAGTGCCAGCTGTGGTGATCGAGCCGGGTACTTTTAACCTCCTCAGAGCACAACTGCTGTAACCACTAGATCAGAAGTGACCAATAAAAAATCAGCAGGGTCCGAATAAAGAAAATCCTCAACCAGTAAAGGTCCGGAGACTAGTCCTGTCACGATAATCAATAAATCAATTAATCGCAAGATAAATAAAAACTATCCACGTCATTTAATTTATCGGCTATATCATCTCTGCCTGTGTTTTTCTCTTTCTACTGATGACACTGGATGAAAAGGCTTAACTCTGGTGCTATCCACTGACTAGTAAGGGAAAAAATGAGGAGGGAGGAGGAGCGGACTATCGCATCAGGTAGTCAGCGCGCATCATTTTGTACTTCTTCAGCTTTAGAGCCCCTTTAGGAGTTAGCTAGGTAAAAAAACAAACACATCTTATGTTAGGGTGGAAAAGCTTGAAATGGAACTGGTTTCAAAGCCGAACGCAACAGCCGCAGTGAGGGAATATTTCAGATTCAAACCGAATGAGAGAGGCAAACCGCTGAACCTATGGGAGCCAGTATGTCGCATTTGTCATAAAACAGTAGCAACAAAGAGCAGCAATACAACCAACCTTCATATGCACCTAAAGCACAACCACCCAGCAAAGTTTCTCCAGCTGGGGACAAAAAGTACAAGCGGTGGCCCGCCTGCGTCTACAAGTTTGCGACAGTCCACCATCACTGAAGCAATTAATCGACAGGCAGCATAAAAAAAGGACGGCACAAAGTGGCGAGCTCTCGCACACAGCGTACGGTAGTTCATTTAATTGCTAAAGAGATGCTTCCATTTAATTTTGTTGAAAAGGCTGCATTTCAAAAACTGTCGCAGACATTTGATAGACAGGATGAACTCCCCAGGAAAACATGCATATCACAAACGGCGATTCCACTGCAGACTTCATTATCTGTTCTCTTTTGGTTGAATGTAGTTTTTATTTCCACTGTTTTTATCTTGTGTTTAGTTTTTATTCAGTGTATTTTTAGTTAACAGAGACTGAGAGTCCATTTGATTTTTATTTCTCGTTTTATTTTGTTAACCAGTTGCAGTGTTAAGTGTTCTGATGAAAATAAACTGTGTTTATCTTTGGCAGGAAATCACATGCATTAATACGTCATTTCCTTTAAATCAGAGTCTTCAAACAATATTATCGTTTATCGCAATAAGTTTTGAGACAATTAATCGTTCAGCGAAATTTATCGTGACAGGCCTACCGGAGACATTTTTAATTATAATCAGTTACTTTAAATAGAATCTAACACTGAAATAAAACAATTTTTTTATGCAGCAATGTTATACATTGAATTTCTACATAAAAAAAAATGTAAATTTTTCCATTTTAAAATCTAAAGTGTTTTTTGAATTAGAGAAGGCTGTACCATATTAACAGGAGAGGCGGCGCAAGTGAAGTTAGACACTTTCGTCAGACAACATGTGGTAATTATAAATGTTTTTAATCAGGTTGGGTCCGGATTAGCCAGTAGGTGGGTCTGGATCCGGACTGCGGTCTGCTAATCCGTGAGCTCTGGTCTAGGCCATCACCTCCCCAACTTAGCAGGAAACAACCAATCCTGTTTGGATCAGTGGTTCTGATTTGCCAATCCTTTTCTTTGGGATCCAGGATCATAAAATCCATCTCTGTTTTGAGCCCTTAACGTTGGATTGGATCCATCTGGTCCACATTCCCAGATTGGAAGGTCACCAGATCCCGATCATTTGCAGCAGGATAATGATTTGTTGCCCATCCACCAGCAGATGGCAGTATTAACCATCACTTCTGCATTCAGAAAAACTGATCTCAACTGGCAGATATTTTATGACCCAATACATACTTTACTGCAGAGCAGCGGTGTCAAAAGTTCACACATTTGTTACTCAAGTAGAAGTACAGATACTACAGTTTAAAAACTGCAACAAAAAAAAAGTATCAACTTGACTTTTACTCAAGTAAAAGTGAAAACATGTGCTCCAAAAACTACTTAAAGTATAAAAGTATAAAGTAACCTTTAAAAAAAACAGCCAGATGCCACTATATCAAATGAAAGCTCAATTTTCAACTATTTTGAAAAACTTTTGAGATAAGAAAAATTCCTTGGCGTCAGCACAAATTTGACAAATAGTGTTTGCGTTCTATGACTCATCCATTCACACTAGTTTTCACTAGATGTGGATGGCGCCAATGATCTGCATTGGATGGCGCACATGACGTGAAATATTTATAAACATTAAACTGAAGCCAAGAGTAATGCGTAACGTTTGTTTTGAAAATGAAAGGAATAGAAAGTACAGACACTTTTGTGAAAATGTAATTAGTAGAAGTCAGAAGTAGGAAGAAAAATAAGTAATGGAGTAAAGTATAGATACCTAAAAAGTGTACTTAAGTACAGTATCCTTATCCTAGTATTTGTACTTTGTTGCTTGACACCTCTGCTGCAGACCTAAGCTCAAAAACAGGCTACATAGGCTACCTTATCCAACGCTGATTGTTGAACAAATGACAATAAAACTACAGATGAAGAGGGTTTAATGTCGGGTTTTTGATCCAATGTTATGCTGGACAACATTTTGGGCCTAAAATCCTTTAATTCATCTTTATTTGGGTCAAAGGGATTCCAATCCTACAAAACTCAGAAAAACTCAAGGTATGATCTGGATCAGAACCAGGATCGGGTTGCTTGATCTCATCTAAATTTGTAAGCATTTTTTTTTTTTTCTATTTGCATTGATAAATCGTTTTTTAGGATTGGATCAAATCCGTTATCCAAAGTCTGAGTTAATGGCTTTTGAATAAGCAGGCCAGATTTCTCCTCCTCTACCAGATGTTTTCCTCCTCGTTTACATTTCATGGTGCATTCAAGTCCATTTGCAAAGTAGGCCATCTGCTGTTTACTAGATTGATCCTTTCAGTCACCAAACGTCCCTCAAATTTTGATTCCTTTACTCAGGGCCCAGATGTTCTAGAAAAGAAAACCTCTAATAACGCTTTAATCGCCCTCTGCTGTATTAACACTTCAACCATGACAGGTTCTTCAAGATCTCAGGAAATACTCAGAGTAACGGTTTTCTCAGACAGAAAAGCCAGAATGCCCAGGAAAGTTAGTCTGGAGCGGCACTAAACCTGCTTTGTGATATAAATTAACTTTCTATTTCAGCAGGCGCTGAAATGTACAAGGTGTAATTGAATGCACCATGATGTCATGACGTGGATAGAATTACAAAAAAATAAAGCAGTGTTGTGGATGTCTGACTGCTGGTGCCGCTCAGGCCACTAAAACGACGACTATGTGGAATAATTGGCCAAATATTTAATCATTGTTGATGAATTCATGATCGATATTAATGTTATTAAATCGTTTAGTGACTGATTAGCGGCTCACTGTGGGGTTCTGGAGCGCTTTAGAACAGCTACAGCATTAAACTCAGTGCTGCATGGTTTAAAATAAGGACTATGAAATGATTTAATGAAGATTGAGGAATTAAAACAGGTTAACGATTAAACAGGCTGAGCTTTTAGGTTCTGATCCAGACGCTTCTCTTTTTTTATGAGAGAAGGTTACTTCTGTGCTGCTGAACCATGATGGTCATGAAGTGTTCTGGAAAGGTCTGGTTTCTGTTTACAGAATGTCTTCTGGAAGAATTTCCCTGGTGTTTATCCAGCGTGTCCACAAGTAATTAAATTATTAAGTTTTAAATTAAGGCCTTAATTGGCATTAAAATTCATTAAATTTGATTAGTGTGGCATTTAAAATGCTTTATTTAAAAAAAAAGGTTTATAAAAACAGTTTCGTCAGATATATTGTATCGAGATATATTTGCACGGAACTGCTTCCGGTTGAAGCTTGAGGCAGAAAAAAAGCTAGAGAATAGGAAACTGCTACTTTCAGCAAAGGTGGCTTGAAAACGAGGAATTCAGGACACGGCTGCAGCCTGTCGACGGTAAAGATGAAGATTTTGCTGTGTTTTACTTGTGTGCATTAAAATAATTTCAAAGAGCATTAAGTTAGAATTAGCCAGTCTTGTATAAAACCTGTTATTGTAACTTTGGAGAATTAAACTGTAGCAGATGTTCAGATGTTTTAACAGGAATCTTTAAACATTTCTGGTTAAAATGTTCTGATTAAATCTGATATCCTGCTTTTACTCCATGTGGACGTGTTGTTTTTTCCAGCTGCGTTCCAATGATCCAGTGAGTCAGCAGCTCGATGCTGAAACCACAGGAACCCGGGGTTATCCGGCTCATCCTGAGGAAGGGGAGGCTGAGGTCTGATCGGCCTAAAGTTGAGAGGAAAGAGAAGCTGACTTGAGCTGTTTTATTCTTTCGCCCCTCAGGTTCACGTGTTTGACCCTTCGACCCCTCAGCGGCGTCCCGTCCTGGAGGCCGAGTTCGGGGAGTATCCGCTCACGGCTCTGTCTCTGACCGCCGCGGGGAACGCCGTGGTGGTGGGAAACACCCACGGTCAGATCGCCGTGCTGGACCTGAGGAAGGGGCTGGTCCGCGGCTGTCTGAAGGGGCTGTCGGGCGGCGTGCGGGCCCTGCAGTGCCACGCCTCCCAGCCCCTGGTGGCGTCCTGCGGCCTGGACCGCTTCCTCCGCATCCACAGCCTGGAGGACCGAACGCTGCAGCACAAAGTCTACCTGAAGTCCCGACTGAACTGCCTCCTGCTGGCCAGCAGGGCGCTGCAGAAGGAGGCGGTGGGGGGGCCTGCAGAGGGAGGGGCTGAGCAGGAGGTGAAGGAGGAGGAGGATGAGGTGTGGGACAGCATGGAGCAGGTGGAGGAGGGGGCGACGAAGAGGAAAACACCTGGAGGAGATGAGGTGAAGAAAAAGAAGAAGAATAAAGGAGGAGACTGAGAGGTGTTCAAGGTGTGAGAAGAGCGTGGGAGATATCAGCGTCTGCAGACTGGAACAGATTTAAAGCTGTTGAACTGATCAAAAGACTTTATTAAACCTAAAAACACCTGAAGACCTTATCGGGTCGGTTCTGATGGATTTTTCTTCAGGTTACGCATCTTTTACAGTTTATTTTTCTAACTGTAGTTAAATAAACCCTTTTAATACAAGACTAAAATCTTTTTCTTTTGTATCTGGTGGAAATAACCGTCTAGAGTCAGGAGAACCACTGAGGCCAAAACTTTCTGCTTTACTATGAGCTGAAGGGATTTCCTGAAGATGGCTTCCTTTGGTCTAAAAATGACACCAGAGTTTCCATTTGATGTTAAACCAGTGAAGCGGCAGTTATGGCTCACCATCCAGGGTGGCAGAAGCCTTAAAATATAATAATAAAATTTGAAACTTTATCTGATGTTTAGCAGATGTGTGTTTTATTGCATTTTATCTTCTTCCTTTATCTGATCAAGCTTTTTATGACTGGCTCCTTTAATGTGTTTTATAAATAAACAAAACTTAAATCTGACCTTAAACATGTTGGAAATCCTTCAGTTATGATTATATTGAAACTATGCTGCAATGTGAAGTGGTTTAGTTTCCTCAGTGGTCTGAACGGGGCAGCAGATGAAGTCCGTATCCAATAAAAGTCTTTCACTTGCTGAAGAAGAAAATCCAACATGGTCAAGTTGTTAAAAAGGAGAAACATGTTTCAGCTTAAAATGTATAAATATAAACACGCCATTGATCCAAATTCCAAAAAAAGTTAAAAAACAATCCACTGGACTTTGTTTCCGAGTATTTAAGGCAACATATTTTGAATGGAAATATTTATCTTTGACAATTACATTCGGGGTCAGAGAAATTAATTCCTTTGGTATCCATTCCTACTATAGGATTGACAGACAATTCTGAAAATTTAGGCTTCAGAACGAAAATTATTATTGGTCTTAGTCTCATTTTAGTCATTACGATATGTGTTTTAGTCTGTTTTAGTTGACTAAAACTTTTAAAGGTTTTAGTTTTAATCAGTTTGATGATGGAAAAAAAAAAGTCAACCTTTACAGTTTAGAATAACAGGATTCTTTACCAGACGGACGACTCTTGCAGAGATACTACAGCTTCAGTGCATAGAATGCTGGAGTGCAGTCTGTCATTGCAGATGGTCAGAAAACTTCAATTTATAGAATATAAATAGAATTTTTTTTTATGAATTAATGCAATATTTTATAAAATCTGTCTTACAAAAGTTGTAAAAAAAAAAACAGATCTAGTTCAACACATCCTATTGGTTAATATAGCAGACAGACAAGAAAATGTACAATAAAGGAAAGGTTTCCATCGTAAAGCAAACATTTCCTGATCTACTATGAATTATGCATTATACACGGATCAATAAAATCATTGCTCAAAAAAAGCAAAGAACAAAACATTCCTATTTCAACTTTGGCAATTTTGACTTTATTTCTGAGAATTTTCCCCTTAGTTACTGCTGCTCAGGGGTCAAAGTAGATTTAAACTGACAAGGTTTTGATATAAAGAAAATGCAAAGAGAGCCTACATAACTGCCTTGTAACGCCATGACGATCCTAAATTTAATGAATATTCTAACTAAAATGTTGAAATATTTAAAGGAAACATTTACATCATATATAAATCGATAGAAATAAGAACAATGAGAGAAAAATATTAAACATTTGAATATAATTTAGGGATTCCTGAAAGAATGCTTAGTATCAACTCTTGTGAGCTGGAAGAAATAAAATATTGTTGGTAAAGGGATTTTTTTACGCTTGGCAGAGGATGATCAGCCCCATATAGTTTACTAAGTAGCGACAGCAGGAAGAGTTATACTGCTGACAGCGAACCATCAGAGTGGAGCGTTGGTTTAAAAAATAACGGGTTGTTCTCATCACCAATCTTCCAATGTTTCATTCATCTGGGTCAGACTAAATTACACATTTAATCTCACATTTAGTCTGGTTTATCAGGCTAGGGCTGTCTCACACCGACAGGGCAACACATTGTCTGGGTGAGAAGGGTTTTTTAAAAAGGAGATAATCTCATCACAGTTCAGACTCCTTCCTCAAATAGGGCTGTGGGATTTTAGCTGCTATATTGTGATTTAAGGCTGGCCGATATATCGATCTTTAAGTTCCTTTTATCGATTGTTAAAAAAAG